AACTCTGGATCTTTAGAAAAGCTTATATTTGTACATTATTACAGTCTCTGGGGGGTTGAATATTTTCGATTTTATATATATTATATTACTTGACATTACTAGACATTAAAAAGCCACCATTTTATTCATTATTATTAATTCATATATTATTTGTCATCCATGAGTGCCTTATTAACTTGTTTACTGCCAGTAGTTAAAGGAGGCATCAATGACATTTCTACCTATATTTATCCATGCTGTTCTGCATCTTTAAATGTCAGAGATATGTCACATGCTGTGATGATGAATTTAATTTCTATGAATAACATGGCACTGTACTGGGCATGTCTCTTTTATGGCACACTTTGTTAAATAAGGGACATGTAGAGATAACACATCCGTACCTCTTGTCCGTCAGTCCCCTGACCACAGCCAGCAGCAGAGCCTGAACGCAGAGGCGGTTCGGGGGGCACTCGCCCGCTTTTCTGCTGCCTCCAACGGTCAGTGTTCTCTCGGGCCACCGCTGGACGAGCTCACCGACAGCTAGAGGACGGCAGTGGGTGAAGGCGGCGTCCAGCAACGCTCGGTAGAGCTCCCTCGGCACACAACTTAACCAATACGGCGAAGAGCTGTGGTCGCTCACCACCTCCCGGGCGCACAGGTTCACCAAAGACAGGACAATCTGCGCACAAATGAGGACGGCATCAGGGATTAATACTACAAATCAAAAGGCAGATTACAGCATGCTGATTAATTGACAAGAACGTAAAGAATCGTCAAACCTTTATTTCTCCAGAATGCCCCGGAAATCACCTCGATGTTTTCAAAGCAGGCACAAAATGATCTCCCCCTAATCACACTGTAATCCTGCATACTAACTACATCTTATATTCAATTAGACTCGTTTAACAGGCATCTGAATGTCACGAGCGTCTTAAATGTCTACCACACCTAAATATAGGATTTAATATATGCCTAACCTTTAGCGGGTTGTAGACGATTAATGCCTGCTTTATGGCTTGAGAACAATACGCGGGACATGAGCAATGGATTTGTAAAATATAACTCTGTGCGATCAGTATGAATCTTTAAAAAAATGTTGAAATGTCTGGAGTGTTTTTCCATGACGTTCCGACTCCATTCCCGATATTTATTTACGGCTGAACATAGTCGCCTTTTGATGACGCAAAAAAGACGCATTTATTTGGCGACGACGCCTGGGCAAATAATAGCGGATAAAAAGACCCCTGATCAACGAGAGGGATCATAGATAATGAAGATTTGCAACTTCTAACACGAAAGAATTGGTTTTGCATTTTCATAATATATACATTTTATCGCAAAAAGCTTTTAGGGTCAACAAATTGATTGTTACTGCATTGTTAGTGGTTCATTTGTAAACCAACTATAACCTGTAGTCCCCGCAAACGTTATTAAACGGTCAACGAAACCTCCCTGTATCAGGGCGCGCGCACAGCTTTTTCTGTGAAGACCGATTGTTACACTATACTTTTGTCTTCTTTTGATTTTAGTTTTCAAATTTTGCATGAGCATTATTGTACTTTAGTTAAAATAAAAATATCGAGTTATAATGAACCAGTATTTTGTTTTTGTGCACAGGATTAAACACAAAGCCAGGTATTAAGGTAGAACAGGTATTAAAAAATGAAGAGAGTCACAAATGAAGAGATAAAAGTGAATAGATAAGCCCAAACTGGTGATTAAACCTGCATTTTTATTGTCCCAGATGCTCAATCATTTGAATGCTATCTGCATATCTGGCAACAAGCAACAGATTCCATTCACATTTTTCTTTCCGTGTCAGGACTGTTATTTATAAAATTCACATTGTTAAGAAAAATTGACAGATTCAGGTACACCAGCCATAAAAGCTTCAACAAATATTTGGTTTGCATGTTTACCGTTCAGCTATGCCAAAACAACTGCAGGCTGGTACATAAAGCCAAAGAAATTGCAGCAATAAAAGTGAAATCTGCACATTTAATAATAATAATAATAATAAAAATCAGTGCAGTGTATACTAAAACAGATGAATTTCAAATAATTAAATTTCCCAAAAAAATAAGTCTAAAATGTCTAGAGCTCATTTATTAGAGCATAATGCTACCAATTCCAAGATCATTGTTTCAAATCCCAGGAAACATGCAGAGGGGGAAAAAAGTACCTGTAAAACGCGCGTGCACACACACACTTTCATATAATCATCCTACAGACCATGTTAAATGACAAAAATCACATACACAAGCTTCAAACCTTACGCAGATTTAAAAAGCAAATTATGAAAACATTAGGAGAACCAATAAAACAGAGGGGCATAAATCCAGAAGGCATGCAGTCTTTGTATTCCAAAGAGTGTTCAAAATCTCCACTGTCAAAATGCTGGTGTCTGAATGTGACTTTCATTCACTCCTAGGATGAGCTGGTTTCCAGTGGCTTTTATTTGTCTCAGCCAATGCCTAAATGAGTCCATGTCAGACCTTGTCCAAGCAGCTCTCTTGGAATTCTTCTCAGCCACAGTCTGAGATCTTCTTTAGAGGCAAATGGGAGTCGTAAAATTAACCCTCCTCAGTCCACAGTGAACCAAAGTAAAAACAAACACACATTTACGAAAATCCCCAGAAAATAAAGTTTTGACAGTTTTCCCCCCTCATAAAAGAAAGAAGAAATTGCAAAGGAGAGGCCCTTTGGCTGAAGCGCAGGTCGTCATCCCCGAGTAAGCTTTAGACGCACAGAGCTCGGGGGAACCTGCAAAACGGAACAAAAGAAACCTTTTTAAAAGACTATGGCTCGACTATAAGGGATGGCTCGTAAGCCTATTACATATTGTAAAAAGCACAATTGTTTTTTTTGTTTTTTTCCCTCCAGTTTTAATGGTCTATGACAACTTGAGCCTTTATAAATTACGTGGTGTATGAAGATGTCTTCATTAAAACAATCTCACCTGTCTTCCATGAAGTTGTCCACTTCGTCTTCATCATCCAGCTCCATGTCCAACTCATTGTCAAGGCCACTGCGACCATAACTACTGAGAACACTGAACAGATGATGTAAAAAACAATGGCTAGTAAATTACTTTTCTATAATGTGTGTACAGTGAGTGATTACTGACCTGACTGAGCGGCAAGTGAAGAATACAATGCGTTTAAGCTTCTTGTTGTAAAAGAAGTAATTGAAGGACCACAGGCTGCCTTCCTCACCAAAGGGGTCAGAGTCAAGGTCTGGGTTGTAGCTACAAACAACATAATGACGGTTATTAAAATACGTGTACAGAACACATTTAATGAGGAATAAATCATTTATTTTCTCCTCACATACCTATAGATGTCACAGCCCTGCAGGTTTATCTCTTGATCAATGGCATTCCACAGTTCTGGGCCTAAAGAGTTAAATTGCTCCCCCACAGCAGAATATAGGCTGCCGTTAACAGAGTCAACCACCTGGAGGACACAAACAGACTGTTAGGAAACATAATCAAACATGTAAATGAAAGCTAAACAGGTTCATATACAACCCTTTCAAACTACATCCCAAATATCTTTGTTTCTAAAGGATATGAAAAAAATGCTAGATTCATTTGAAATTTGTAGTTGCCTATACAAAGTTATTGGCAGAATTAAGCATTTTACAATGAGTGAACATTAAAACTGACAAAAAGTAGTGTTACTTCGGACAATTAAGACGATCACTGAGAGAACTTAAAGGGGTCATGAACTGAGAAATAAAAATTCCCTTGATCTTTTGACATATAAGAGGTCATCATCCTATAAAAACATCCTGTAAGTTTCAGAACTCAAAACCTTCTCAGTCTAAAAACAGCTTATATTGAAGTCAATCTGCCAAAACGACAGCTTGTGGAATGTGCCACCTCCACAAAAGATCAACACCTGCTTCTACAACACTGCCTGTTTAGCTCCGCCCACTGATTCACGAACGTAGTGTAAATAACGAGGGAGACGAACGCAGGTCTACATAGAAACCAAATGATAAAGATGCTCCGAAGATAAAAAGATGCTGTGCAGTGCCAAATTGTGGAAAAACACAGTCTTTGCATAACCTTCCATCGGATCCCAACATTAGGCATTTTTAATGAAGATCCAGACCGAGTCAGTAAAAGGTTGGTTGTTTGTTCACTTCATTTCACCGCAGATTCATTTACAATGCACAATTCAACACCGGATTTTCTGAAAGAAATTAAAAGACGATTCTGTGCCGACTATATTGGATCCGACAGTAATGTTGCACCACACAAGTGTGAGTAACTGTTTTTATTATGTGGTCACTATTGCTTTGTCTGTTATTACAGATCGTTTGATATGAACTGAGTATTTATGATTTTTAAACCTAAATCACAGCAGCGTCCATCTATGAAGGATGTAGCTGTCAAACATACACAACTGTTAGCATACAGTTTGCATACAGAACCAACAGGTCCACGGAAGATGCCATCTCAGCTGCTCTCCATCAAGCCCTTACACACATGGACTCCAAAGACTTCCATGTGCGAATGCTATTCTTGGGTTTTAGTTCAGCATTTAACACAATCATCCCACAGCAGCTAATAAACAAACTGAGACACTTGGGACTCAACTTCCCTCTCTGTAACTGGGTGCTGGACTTCCTATCAGAGAGACCACAAAATGTACGGGTCGGCGGAAAAACATCTAAGACAGTCACGCTAAGCACAGGGGGCACCACAAGGGTGCGTACTCAGCCCGCTGCTCTTCACCCTGTTGACCCATGATTGTGTACCCAGTCACAGTACCAACCACATACATCATCAAGTTTGCGGACGACACGACTGTAGTTGGCCTCATCACCAACAACGAGGCCAACTACAGGAGCGAAGTGAGCTGACTGGTCCAGTGGTGTAATGACAACAACCTCTTCCTCAATGTGGGGAAGACCAAAGAACTTGTCATCAACTTCAGAAGAAGACCTCCACAGCACCCCCCACTAACCATCAACGGTGCCGTAGTGGAGCGGGTGAGCAGTAGGCTTGCCGCGATAGACGGTGCTGAAGGTGATACCGATGTTAAGCCGCAACACCGGTTACGTCACTTGCCTACCGCGTCACCGACCACCACCGTCGTTTTGATTTTTTTATAGTAATAAAAATAATTTAGTTCAGTAAAAGAACAGACACTACAATTAAAAACTGAACGCGGCCACTCAATGCAGAGTGCCGAACGACAGTCGCATCACAGATCAGATTTCATTTATCCAGTGAGGAGAGTGAGTCGAGCTGACTGACAAGAAGAGTGAGGTGAGGTGAGACAGACAAGATGATCGCGGATGATTTAGTTTCAAAACGAGATGCAAAAGCGCCTGTTTGGCAATATTTTGGATTTTGAAAAGCCTGTTGACTTTTGCCGTTTATCTAAGGTGATTTTGGAAGTTTTTTTAAACATTCGTTTCTCATTTAATTGGTTCCACATTGTTTGCTGATTTTTACTTTATTTAAACTTTGTGTCATTTATTTATTTTATTTGACATTCGTTTTGCTAATAAACGTTCTACGTTTCTTATTTATTTGGTTATATATTATACATGTTTACTTATTTCCAGTTAAGTTCTATGTTTTATATATATGCTAAAGTGAGTTTGACGTTGTATTTTGTCGTTGCATTCAAGCAATTGACGCCGAACTGCCGCTAATTCAAAAGTTAAAGTAAAATGCGCACGGCGCTTTTATGCTATTTAAAAGCAAAGAAAAGCGAAGGAAAAGAGGGAAAATTCAAACGAACTAAAAATTAACAATTGCTTTACTCCGAATTGCCGCTGGGGGAACGCCCCGCCCACGCGGTTTGTTAATAAAAGTTCTATGTTTTATATATAGGCTAAAGTGAGTTTGACGTTGTATTTTGCTGTTGCATTCAAGCAATTGACGCCGAACTGCCGCTAATTCAAAAGTGAAAGTAAAATGCAGACGGTGCTTTTAAGCTATTTAAAAGCGACGGAAAGCGAGGAAAAGAGGGAAAATTCAAACGAACTAAAAACGAACAAATGCTTTATGCCGAATTGCCGCTGTTTCAAAGTGAAAGTAAAATGCGCACGCTGCTTTTACAAGCTATTTAAAAGCGAAGGAAAGCGAGGAAAAGAGGGATCGCCCCGCCCCCGCGGTGATACCGGTATTACCGGTGTTGTCACACATCGATTAACCGGTGGGAAAATTTCCTCACCGTCACAACCCTAGTGAGAAAAACCAAGTTCCTAGGGGTGCATATCTCTGAAAACCTCTCCTGGATGACAAACACCACATCGCTGGCCAAGAAGGCTCAGTCACACCTCTACTTCCTCCGCAAACTGAGGAAAGCACGAGTCCCACCTCCCATCATGTGATCCTTCTACCAGGGCAACATTGAAAGCATCCTAAACAGCTGCATCACAGTGTGGTAGGGATATGCCGGTATCAAATTTTCATGTTGCGATTAATTGCTAATGCTTTTATCACGGTGTACGGTATT